GGTGTGGGTCTGAAAAATGTAAATTTTGCTGATGTAGTGATGTACTTTGAAGATTTTTACATTTCTACATCAGCCGGTGGGGATGCTCTTACAGTTACAGTGATCCCCCGCTTTTTGCAGCCTGGTCGGAATATAATAAGATAGAGGTATCAGTGCCAAGGGTTATGCATATTAGGAGGTTTTCCTACCCGTTCTTCGGCTAAATACCTGACTGAATAAGGCAATTATAGGTTATTTGGCCACGCTATGTTAGAGCCTGTTAGTTTCAGTGGAGCATTTAACCTCCACGTTCTGTTATACCCGGTATATATTCATATAAAAAGTACTTATGGGGTAAACAGATTGCACTTTCATTATAAACTCAAAAGTACATCGAATGACATAGGATCGCCAATACGCAACTTACAGGGAGAATTTTGTACCCAAGCCGCCAACTCAGTGTCAAGCTCAGTTAGCTTTGGTCCCTTGATGTTGCAGCGTGACGCAGGGACGTTTCTGCATCAATGTTTGCTGCTGAGCTGGTGCGATCGTCCCGAACAATGCGACCAACAGTGGTGGGTGCACGATGACGCCGACCTCCTGTGTGATCTACGCGCATGTAATCGACACGTGTGGCATGCAATCAACTCTCTCTGCGTTCTACGGCAACCTCACCATGACGGCACGCGAGACAATGCGCAAGAAGATCTACTCGTGGTTGGCCAATCGAAACCACATTGAAACCATGGCGTCGAGTGCACGTACCGCGTCGAAGAGGTGCTGGCGACCGCTCGGCGCGGGGACGACGCTGACGGCAGCGGCAGAGGACCAGCTCGCCCAGTGGGTGCTCGACATGCGCAACGACGGCGTGCCAGTGACGCAAGCGATGCTGCGTGTCATGGCACTGGAGGCAGCGATCGACCTAGGCATAGAGGACCATGAGTTCCTTGCTGGATGGCACTGGATCCACGGGTTCAAACGACGCCACGGCTTGTCACTCCAATCACGTACCCGTATTGGCCAGGATTCACCAGACGATGGCGTGGCGGCACTGGAGGCGTTTTCGGCGCGGGTCAGGGCCCTGGTGCTGGAGCACGACATTAACTTAGTCTACAATGCCGACCAAACGGGTGTGAACTACGAGTACCTACCGACAAAGACGCTCAACACGGCTGGCGACATGACCGTTTGGGTCAAGTGCAGTGGGAAGACCAAGGAGCGCGTGACGGCAATGCTGCTGGCGGACTCGAACGGCACCAAGCTCCCCCTCTTCCTGATGCTTCGCACGGCCAAGTCGAAAGTCGAAGCCGTCGTCAAGGAGAACTTGACCCAACGCCATGGGTTTGGCAAGACGGTGTGGCAGAGCGTCGAGCCTACCCAAGGACAGAACAACAGTCAGATCTACGGCAACCCGACGGCTTGGTGGAACTCCCCCATTTCGTTGGCCATCCTGAAGTTCCACTTTGGGCAGCGTGCCGACCGCGCCACCAAGAAGGTCCTCTTGCTCTGGGACGACTTCTCCGTGCACTTCATGGACGACGTCGTGGCCTACGCAAAAGAGATCAATGTCCTGCTGGAGCGAATCCCACCAAGATACACGTGGATCTGCCAACCTGCCGACGTCGCGTGGAACCGCCCGCTGAAGTGCCGTCTGCGGCAGAATTGGCTTGACCTAATCCGACGTCAGTTGAGAACAGAAAAATAACGTGGGCGGACCTTCAAGCTCCAGCCACCGTCGAGGGTGACAGTTGTGGGTTGAATCGCGGAGGCGTGGGATGACCTGCCTAGCACCACGATTGTCAATGGGTTTAGAAAGTGCTGCTTAGTCGATGGTGAACCTGTAGAGGAAGTGGTGTCGGGTGGTGTTGTGGACGACACGGTTCTGTCGGAACTGATGGCTGTGAGCTCCATTGAGGAGACCATTGACCCTGACGGCGACATTTTCAATGGCGACGACAGTGTTGATGATGGAACGGATGCATTTGAATAAATTTTATAAATAACGAATGTTTTGTATGGCGACTTGGTATTTTTATTCACGTCGATCTCTCTTCTAGTCTATTTCCTGTGAAACTGAATTTCCGTGGTAATATAATGTTTTTTGCAATTTTAGGCTTGGTGTAGGACTACTTTGTATTTGTATGTCCGGAACGAAAGCCAAAATCACCTTGTATTTCACATCGTATCCGTATTCGGATACGGCATATCATTGTCCGACTCGTATTACACTATACGGTACTACGGAGTACTACTGTAGTACTAGCTTGTACTGTACGTACCACTGTATAAGTGGTTTTTGTACTACTATCTACTGTAACTCGGAAATGTCACCGCCAGCTGGCTGCACAACTGTAGAATTTGAGAAAGTACAATTCCCCGCTTAACGTTAATAAAGTAACGTTAACGTTACTGGTACTTCGTAGTATATGGGACTTAACATCGATGGTAAGTACATTAAGTCCCGGGGAATTGTACTTATCTTTACAGTTAGTGAGGGAATTCCTTAGGTATGACTCCGTACACATATACAAAAAAAACCTTGTAACCTGGGACTTCGTCCTACCCCTGGTGGGCGCTGATATTTCGGAGTATAATGTTATTCCCGGAGTTACCGGTAAGCGTATCACAGCGGTGAGCTATCGCAAACCACTGAGATGTCTTAACCCCTAGCTGACATCCGATGCTGGTGCTAAGCTTACTGTATAATTAGATATCCCATCACTGTACTTATTCGTGCATTAACCAGAAAAAGGAAGGTGAAATAGGCAATTTTGTATGAAGCGCAAGGTGGATCGGATCATAAATAATTATGAAATTGTGTAATTTCAATTAAATATCTTCAGGTTTGTAACGTTATTGTTTATTTTTATTTTCCATGTGTCTGTCTGCTTTTGGAATTCGCAAGGTTGTGAATTCAAAATTGTCCTCCAATTTTGTCCAATCAGATACCGTGAAATCACAAAAATCGCTGCGTAGATACATCACGCCCTGTTGCGATATATTCTACTATGCTGGCGGTTGATGCAAGGAACCTTGAGATAATTGCAGGCTGTGGATGAGAGAAAGATCATGTGATGTGGTATTCAGGACTAGGTCAATTCTAACAGGTCTCATTTCACCACTTGCCTACTAACGTTATCCCAATGAAATTGCACCACCCAGCCCGTGTCGGTGCCGTACACCTCCCTGCCGGTGTAATCACGTGGTGGCGCGGGCGATGGCGCAAGACGTATTGGTGGCACCGATCGCAAGTGCTGAAGTGGCGGTTTTAGCACTTTGCGATGGGTGCTACCAAGACCTCTCGCCACGTTGGCCCACCAGGGCCACCACGACATTGCGACCCAACCGAGCGCACAACATAATGTTAGCTGTAAGGGGAGAATCACATTGGATATAGTCGGAGTGCACTCATCAGTGCACAATTCTCGGCATCACACAAAGCTCTACAAGATTCAAGCGTCCAAACAGTTCAAACTTGTAACCACTTCTGTCAGTGTTATAGCCAATCGTGTGCAAGAAACAAGTGTGATTGACTATGATTGGATAATAAAAAGAAGCAAGGTGGCTCCCCTTGCGAATTCCATTATCAAGTCAACAAATCCTCAGTTCAGGCGTCCTGATCGCTGAGGTATCTCAGAATGCACCCATTAAAGGTAGGGTATACTAGTACTGTACCTTCTGTGGGGGAATTACTACGAAGTAGTCTTGTGCAGCCAGCCAGCTGGCGGTGACATTTCCGAGTTACAGTATATATAGTACATAGTACCAAACCACTTATACAGTGGTACGTACAGTATAAGCTGGTACTACAGTAGTACTCCGTAGTACTACTCTACAGTACTATCTGTAAATAACAATACCAGAAATCCCTTTGGTGTTTTCAGCCGATTGATTGGGGTTTCTTCTCCACTTCTCATAGCCAGTGTTCTCGCTGCACTGTTGGTTTAGTGACATGACGTTTTCTGTCTAACGTCCGTGATGGCTGACCCAATTACGGCCGAACAGGAAAATTAGCGTTGGTTCTCTCCACCTCTTGCCTGGTTTTCTGCCTGTAGGACTAGTTTGTTCTCCACAATTTCACTTTTAGTTTTCCCAACTTGTGCCCGAGTGATCTGTCCTGCGTCGGACACTCTGCGCCCCTAGTGCTGTTTTCTACCGAATCCTATCCCTCACGCTTCCGCCATTTCCTGCATCGTGACGATGATGTGCGGTATGGAAACAGTGCAATTTTTCCATATTTCCCTATTTCCTCGAATCACTGTATTCCGCCAATTTGAGTTATACAGTATATGCGCAAAATCATGACTTGGTCAAAATTGAAATTACTACAGCATGATACGCGGTATTTGCAAGCTCTCTGACTTCAAAATAACTTAGCCACACAACCAGGGGCTATTTTATTCCGACAGCTGTATCAATCAATGAAGATTGCGGCGGTGGTGGCGATTCTCTTGGCGTGGACATCATGCACCGAACCGTCTTGTTTTGCAAACGGCCAGAGTAGCACGAACGAGCCCAGTCCACTCAACTTCGACGTCGTCGAAAACTTTGTCTTGGCCTCGCCCGTGGCACGCGTCCACCGATACACCGTCGCGTCATACGCTGCCAATGACCCGAACGAAGTCAGACACAACATCACGTCATGCACTCATCGTCGGTCGTGCGTAGGATCGATACGTAGTGCAAGTGAACTCGGACGCAGTGTTCGCGTCCGTCTTGGACGGCCACGGGGGATGGCAGGTGGCTGAGTACGTGAAGAAGCACTTGGTCGACAACACCGCCTCCCTGCTTCATGATGCTGCTTTCAACAACCCTCCTGCTTCCAACGACCCCACCCACGTAACATGCGCTATCCGTCGTGCTTATCTTACGGTATGCTGGTGGTTGCATGCAGATCGAGTCGTTGTTGTCGAATGCGTTCGTGGACACCGACGACGCGCTGCGCACCCTCCTGCTTCTATCCTTTCAGGTGGGATTCGGGCTAGTGAACCGCGTGGGAGCGTGCACGATGCTGGCGTATGCAAAAGGAGACACTTTGGTCGTGGCCAACGGTAAGCACATTATCGTTCAATGTCCAATCCACGAACAATCATCGTAGCCGGCGACGTCAGGGCGGTGCTAGCGTCGAACGATGCCTCGAGGGGGCTGGTGGCAACACCCCTGAGCACTGACCACAACGCCAAGCACGTGTCCGAACAAAATCGGTTGACCGAAAACCATCCAAATGAGACCGACGTGTTCAAATGCAAAAAGTCGTGCCGCGTCAAAGGCATCTTGCAGCCCACGCGGTAAGAACTTCGTCAAGTGAATGCATGGTCACAAGCTCCTCGTAGCGCGTTGGGGGACTTTGCCTTCAAGTATGAAGAATTCAACACGTTTCCTGGTGGTCCAAAGCATAGAGGCGGCGGTGATTTCATCCCGGATCTACTCACACCACCGTACGTGCTGGCAGTTCCGGAAACCCAAGTACATACGCTGACGGATGCCGACGAATTTCTCATTTTGGGTACACATACGTTTATATATATTAAATTATGATATGTGTATACTCTAGTATATATCAATGTATATATATATATCAATGTAGTTTACATACTTGTAACCAGTGAAGCTGATACAAAGTCACGCAATTATGCGTCGTGAAAGCATGTTAAGGAGAATGGACCGGTGTATACGTTTAGGAAGCGATGGGCTATGGGGTAAATTGTCCAACGAAGAAGTACGACAATAATATTTGTTTATACTTTAAAAACCATGGCATTAAAATGTTATTTGTAGGCGGTGAAAATTGTCGCTGATTATGCATCTCGTGGCGAGCACGACCTAGCCGCCAAGGCATTGGTCAACCAGGTGATCAACACGACTGCCAAAAATGTCAAGTACGTTGTAGTACTGATTGTTTCCTACAATATTTATATTGTTTTCCCATTCTCGATTTGAATATCGACTACTCCCTTTCTCGGATTTGAAGAAAGACTCGAACTTCATAACTCAACGATGCTACTGTAGTGTGGATTGGAACGACATTGCCAACTTGAAACCAGGGAAAAATCGACGTAAATTCCACGACGATACAGCCGTCGTGGTGCTATTTTTCAAGTCGTGATCAACATTGAACACTAATTACATGTAAAGTCTGCATCTTCATTCGATCCTTGATTTTTGCACCTTGGTGTCAACGAAAAACACACATTCAAGTACTGGATACAACCATCCAACCGATGCCGCTAACTGTAATCCGACCGTTTCTCTGGGGTTTGTATCATGCAGCTGCCAAGCAGCTGTACGTAATTTCAAACTGCCCCCTTGGATATGTTACTGGCGATGCCGGCGTAATTACTGAAAGTATGACTCCCCGGCAGACGCGTACGACTTTGTCGAGTTTGTGGTGCAGCACATGACGCTCCAGTTTGGCGCCCATACAAGGCACCGACTCCAAGGACTGATCACCTCCCTTGAGCAATACTGTATAAAGGATACGTGGGTGTATGTTTGCCTTTTGTCAGTTTTGCGGCGTTCGTACAACTTGTATGGACACCCCCTCCTTTTGTCATATTCATATGGCGGCCTTGGGGTTAGATTGCCGAACAATTGCCGTCGGATTGCTTTACCTTTTACGTGTCGGCATTGCAATGCTTGCAGTTTGCAGTGCCGAATCGAGCGCAACAAGCCGACTACTACATCCCTAGCGATGTGTTTTACCCGCTGTTTGTGAAAAAAGCCGTCATGGCGTTACGTACGATCGCAAGCGACGCCAACATCGACGAAGCCAAATGGTACGCCACGCTGCGCGAGTGTCGAGTGCTGTGTCCGCGCAAGACGGTGCTCGGCAGCCCCATCTACGTCGTCGGTGGGCTAGCATCCCTTCCAACGAATATGCAACCTAACACGTCGGGCAGGGCTCGGGGCGTTCATGGATTTGGTGTTGGACATTTGGCTGTCGAATCGACGGATGATGGAAGATGAGATGCGCCGGATGTTTGTCCAGTTTGACACGGATCAAAGCAAGAGCTTGAGCTACGACGAGTTCCGGGCATTCATTGTGCACTGCCACAAGACGCTGCAGGAATCGGCATCCACCAGCCAGTCATTTTGTCAGCGCGTTGTGGACGAGAAGAACGTCGTCAAGCTGTACGGCAAGTACCTGATGCAGTCTGACCAGAGCGAGATCAACATCGACTCGTTCGTGCTGGGCGGCATGGAAAGTATGTGCCTGTCTACCCGTTGCTCGACCTAGAAATACTCATGTGTTTGATAGATCCGCTGACCCTGGCCATGTTTGGCTTTGCGGTGCCACCGACCCAAACGACCGCGGCCAGTATCATGGCCATGCAGTTGATTATGCGCGCCATGCGGGCCTATATAAAACGCTTGCGGTCGGTCACTCCAGTCCCCCGATCGCCAAATTCCTAACAACAATATTTCTATATATTGCATTTTTGTTGTTTCTATACTGTACGTTTGGGCAATGCGAACGGACTGGAGGCCCTTTTCCTACGTAAAATGCCAATTTATGACATACAATTTGCATTTGATTTCAAAAATTTGGCATACCGGTATCTCCATCCTGCTTCATCACTTTCGAATTCTAAATAGTCCTAAAGATAGAGAATTCCCTGGTGAACAACCCATGATTAAGTTCTTATGCCCGGTTTGGAGTCCTTGGAAACCGTTATAGACAAGAACCTCTATAATTTTGAGTTCCAATTTGAATCGTATATTTTAACCTTCCTTTTTGTATGTAATAATTGTGAATAGAAATTCAGAGGTTCAATGTATGAGTGGTGCATATTCAAATAACGATCTATGATTGGTGCATTTTCGTACGACCTAAATTGGCACATACGTCATAAATTGGCACTTTACGTTGTAACTATTTTTGTAGGTTGGCAACAGAAAGTCAAAATTGATCACTCTACAGGATTTGATAACGTGCGTATTGTGAGGGGTGTGGCTTTCGAATTGGATTCGAACTGA